ATGCAACAGCCCCCACAGTCCCCCAGCACCCCTCACTGCAGATGTTGGGTAACAACATGGCTGATGAGTTCAATAATGGACACACAATGTTGCTCTTGTGTGTTGTTAAGCCTCCATCAGCTGTGTTACACATCCACGATCACAAGACTTGGTCAAGAAACAGAATGACTTCATGTGTGAGACAGTCTGAGGCAATGATCAATATAACGAAAGCTGTTTATTATATTACATTATATTATATAATATTATATTATGTTATGTTATATTATATATTAAGTGCAGGGGGAGTGGGTGGTTGTATGTCATGTCAAAGAAACGCTGATGTACACATATACAAATTGGCACATTTAAATCTGTGAGCACTGGTGAATCAGTACAATTCATTAGTTGCAATAATTAGCTTTCACTTCTTAAATCTTTTTGTCCATTGCTATGAGCGTTGAGTTGCACCAGCAGCCGCCAACTGGTGATGAACTTTGCAAATGTTGTCATTTCCACTGTGGGCCAGCAGGGCTGCAGGGAGAACAGTCCTCCTGCAGGCCTCCTGTCATCCCCACTGAGGTAATGAGGGGGTTAAAATATAATGTCAGGTTCTCTGGGCTGGTGGACTTAAAGGTAGAGAAGGGCAAATGTGTCAGAGGGTGTCACAGGGTTGCAGGCTTGTGCAAATGGTTGCATCTTACATGTGTATGGACAAATACCCAGCATGCTTCAGCAACAAATCCCTTTATTTTATTAATTAAAAATATACTTATTCATCATAATTATTTTTTATTTGGTGCGCCGCTGTACTATAGGCCGTTCAGTGCACTGTCTGTGTCCACCGTCTTCTGAAGGCACTCATGCCTCCAGTGATTTTTTTGTTTTCAGTCAAAGGAAGTACATGATGCGAATTAACGAGACCTGGTTTAAAGCAGACTATCTTTGGCGTGTTGCTAAACTGAAACGTGTTTGAGCTGCCCTTTCGCGAGAGTTTCATCTCGGCTAGAATTATCTAAAAAAATAATATGAGCACTTTTTATTAGTGTGGTGAAGATCGGGGCTTCTCTCCTCGAAGTGAAGACAGATTCATGTAGCAGAGCTACAGTAGGCTTCTGGTTATGCCATATGCCACTACAATTCAAGCAGGTCTTACGTAGCGCGCACACACACACACACACACACGCCCATCTCCACCTCGATTATGCCGATTCATCCATAATAAACATATTTCTTTTATATTATGTAGGCTGTATATTTTTTAAAATGCGAGCTGTTGCAAAAATGTTTTAATTTACGCGTAAAGATAAGGCTGTCCATGCGTGATTCATCTCAGCTTAATTAACATATTGACTGATATACAATTGGATCATGCACACACACACACACACACACACACACACACACACACGGGTCAAAAGGCTATCCGTTGTCAGCTCACTCCAAATGATTTTAGTTTCATGACCTAACTTGACCAAACTAAACTGATCCCACTCATGCATTCACTCGTTTGGGATGATTCAATTCATTTTTAAGCAGCAGTGAGATATTCAGCATTTAAGCTGATAAATAATGAAGACGAGCTATTTTTAAGACGCCCATACAACTTTAAACTCGCGTTTTTGTTTCCCTGTAAAAACAAATATTTCCACACCATGAATCCTACATCACTGTCACCTGCTCCTCATGATGCTTATAGAGTATTTTATGTGTGAAAATAAAAGCATATAGACAATCAGCTCGTCTATTCTTAATATCCAAGGGCCCATTCTGCGCCTGTGTAGTCGTGGGTGGGAGGCACACACTGTCAATCATCAACGCTTCATTGATCAAGGACAATCCTCGTCGTAAAAAATGGTCCCTTTTTTTTTCTTAAGAAATCACTCACTCCGCATTAATTATCACTCTGCCTGTTGTATGTGCGCGTGCGTGCGTGCGTGTGTGCTCGCGCGCGTGCAGCTAAGCACCTTTGACTATTTTTCACATTTCATGCAGTCGCTCGAGAGGAGCCCACGATGCACGATGAGATGGAATTCCAGCACCTTCTGCTAAAATACGAGTTAGTATTCAAGCGGAGGAGCCGACCTTTTGTGCAGGCTCTCACAGCAGGGCAGTGCGCGGGGAAATGGTGTCAGCTGTGGCACAAATAATAAATTAATAAAATAAAAATAAATCCATGAAATTCAGCTTGACATTAATGTGTGCAAGTGAAGATAATTTTAGAATTTTTTTTTTTTTGGTATTTATTTTTATTGATGTGGGTCTAAGGTGTAAAATATTAAGCTACAAAAAATAAAGTGGAGCCCCAAAAATAAATAAATCAAAATGAATAAATAGAGGATATTTTGTGTTTCTGTCAGACCATAAAATGCTCAAAAAAAAAAAAAATCAAAAATTCTCATATGGGGTAGGGGTGACTAACACACACGGAAATGTGGAAATAATTTAACATAAATCTTTTCTTTTTTTTTGCCATCAGTATTAACACCTCCTTGTGTGTTTTATTTTCCTGTGATCTGAAAATAAAACATTTATCCCAGATTTTCTTTTGCAAAAAATAAAAAAATTAAATTAAATAAATGCCAGTTTATTGCATAGTTGTGTGTAGAAAAACACAAAATTAAAAGTTAATGAATAAAAGCATCTTTATTGTTCTTACAGAGCAAGCATACAATTAAAAAAATGTATTGTAGCCTGTATCAGATAGTAGAAGATATTTATTCACCCAGAAATCACTAAGGGGGCCTTCGAGAAATATCTCCAGAAACACTGTAATAGATTAAAAATTTTAAATATTTTGGCTGCAGCACATTTATGATCGCCTTCATATTTCTCTATCTGGCTCCATCTGAGCATTTTACACCCTAATCTGAAATTACTTCAACAGACCACAATTACAAACAGCATGCGATGCTATCAGCCGATCACCTCACAGTCAAATTTTATTTCACATAAATTCTTTGAATAAAACCATTTCTCCGCACTAACCCACTACGACAAACCTCATGCAGCCACACTTTAAAATGGTGAAAAGACTCCATGCAGACTGTCTCCATTAACGCGGACTTGAGCAGGGCGATCCACAACCGGAGCTCTTTTTCCTCTCTCTCTGTCTCTCCCTCTTTCCTCGCAACCCTCACGTGCAGCCTATAACCTGAATTGTTTCGAGGCTCGTTTCACTTGTTTTCATAACTTTTCATAATGATTAGGCACCGCTGGTCCGCATTTATCCGAAAACTAACCTCGATTATTTTAAATATCCAACATATAATTTCCCTCTCTCTGCAGTATTCCCTTTGATTCACGCTTGACTCATATGGCTCCAGGGCCAATAGGGGTCCGCCTTTGGGGCGTCTTGAAACCGCCTCTTCTTATCCCCTTTCATCATCTAACCCGGGACGCCTTGAAACCGCAGGGCCAGTTATTGCCTTTTTTTTTTTTTCTTTTTTTTTCAGACAGCCCAATGCGGACTGGCCAACAGCCAATCAGAGTCTTGTTTACACTCTGTGACTGACAATGCTCTGGAGCGGCGCCAGCCAATCAGAGGCTCGCATACGGGGGGGGCGGGGGGGGGGGGGGATTCATTTGTAAACATTTAGCATAATGTAATAACCAAAGTCCATAGTAATAACATGAGGGAAATATTGGAATTACTGTCTTGTCTGCATGATTCAATGTAGGGGTGCAAGACACTGGCTTTAAAGGCACTGAAGGAGGAATAAATATATAGACAGGGAGTGTTTGATGTTCATTGTGAGTAAAATGTTATTTCAATAGGGTCCTTTCAGTGACAGCTGACGAATACATATCAATCTGTGACAGAGACACTTCAGTCTTGTGTTGCAAAATATCATTTAGTCAGCTGTCCTATTTATAGGAAACTCCCAAACTGATGTTTTTGTAAACACTGCTGGGAAAAATGATTTCATATTTTCTCATTCATCATTATTTTTCAGCACTTTTTTTTATAATTTAGGGATATGTGTGACATGCTTACATGTCCAGGTCACATATAAGGGATGTAAAACTTGTTTTACCAACTTTTAAAAGATGGTATCAGTGTTTTTTTTTTATACAATTTTTTATCCCATTATTGACATGTAAAGCACTTTGTAACACTGTTTTGAGAAGTGCCTTATAAATAAAGACTATTATTTTGGATTTAGATGCCAAACTGAGGCTATTTAAGTTACATTAAGATCATACACATACATGCACATCCCAAAATAAATAAATAAATAAAAAAGAATTGTCCGTTTCATTTTTGTTTTGTTTTACATTATTTATTTATTTATTTATATTATTACACCCTTTTTATTTTTATTCATATTATTTTATTTATATTTTTTTAATCTGCATTTTAAGATCTTTGCATATGCCATACAAGCAGGGTATTTTTTTTTTTTTTTTTTTTACTCCTGCAATTTGATATTCTTTATTTTATTTTATTCCTGTATATTTCTAGTATATCTTGATATATTTTTTAGTACTATTCATGTTTGTGTATATTTTATATTTCTATATTCTAATGTCCACATACTGTTTGATAGCTTGCTGCTGTAACATAAGTATTTCCCAGTTTGGGATCAATAAAGCACTATCTTATCTTATCTTGTTATTTCTGGAGCATTATCCAACAAATATAAGTTCAATTTGGGTTTTACTGAAAGCTTGCACTATCAAATTATTTTTTTAAAGGTTTTATTTGTGTTTTGTTAGTTATTTACACTCTGATGAGCACTGCCTGTCACCTTTTGATCATCTGCTGTGCATTTTAACTTGTGCTCAGGCTGCACTGAGCTCCATTGTAAGTGCCTGAGACCATCCCGAGCTTTAAATCTGGCGCGTCCCTCTCTGTTTAGCATCGCCAGTCAGCACACCATTGGCCTGCGCTGCCGGCCAATCAGTGCCTCCCGTATCTCCGGGCGGGCGGCACGAGCTAATTAACATGCAGGTATCCGACCAATGGCAGGGCATGTTTACCCTGCCCTGAGACGCGAGGTACGCAGTTTCACCGGGAGAGAAACCGCTGCTCGGAGATCCGAGCCGCGATCCAGCCAGGCCGGAAGCCGTAGTCCCACTGCTTCCATAGACTGAACCAGCAGGCTACTGCACAGCCTCAGATGGACATACTGTAGGATTGCATTTTAGCCACATGGTTTATTTCAGATTTTTGATTTAAATGGGCGTCGCACTTGGCCTTGCTCCTTCCCTCCCTGTGTTGTGTGATTTTATAATTTATTGTTATGCAAGGATTTAACATACCAGTAAGTAGTCATTTTATATACTTGATTTTTTTTTAATTCAATAAAATATTTTAAGGCCTGTTTCCTCGCTGTGAGATGACACAGGCTGTATTTTAATCCAAAACGCTATATATGTGACATGCTGTTCATTATACACAGTGCAGTGCTATAATTTACAAAATAACAAAACAGGATGTGTGAGGTGTATCCTATGTGGAATAAATCCATGATTTAATGCAGGGAGCTGACAGAGAAATAAATTACCTTAAATTGTTATTATTATATTAATTATCAGTGTCAGTAATATTATCTCTAATATTATTATTAATAGCAATTTTAAGTGTTGCATTATAGTTTGGCGTCAGGAGCATTTTTGTAACAAGATAAAATATTTAATTATCGATGGACGACTTATTTGCATGTGCTTTTGTTTTAATTATTCTACTAGAAACGTGGCACGCTGGGTATTTTTTTGCAAATGGCAAGATTTAAGAGCATTTACTGTTGAATAAAATGTAGGTCTATATTTTTGTGGAGCTGTCAGAGGGGTGTCGGTTATGGTTTTAGTCCGGTTGCAATAAATCCAAAGCGGTTATTTTGCATGGAGAGGACGGGAGGCGTGTTTGCACCCAGGCCGGCCGAGGCGCACTCCCTGCCGGCCAGCTCAGTCACGGAGGGCCGCCTGCCTCGCAGCGCGATGCGACCTACACACTGTAACGTGATTTATCATCCGCGTTTCTGCTTTCGATTGGGTTCTGTAAATGCAATTGACAGCTGCTTAATGAATTGCATTAGGGCGTCGATCATTTGAAGGGTTTTAAAAATTATTGCGCGTATTTGGTGACGGGGGGAATCCGCACATTGGAGGCTGAAATGACACAAAACGACCGTGTGTGTGTGCGCTACTGCGATTTAAATTCCCATGAATGTACATTTGGAGCATTTACAAATCTGTACTGTCTCCCCAGCCTCGTACATGCTGAATAATTTTAACCCGATGTTGTTAGTGGACATAGAGAGTGAGCTGAATGCAACAGCATGGCGAGGGGGAAGGTAATGGCTGACTGCAAAGCACTATCTCAGTATGGAGACAAAGGCAATCCTGCTGACGGGCGGCCATTCACCTTGGATCTCTACACAGTCCTCAAACTGAAGTCTCAGCTATCATGTATGCAACAGCAAGGCTTTTTTAAGCGTTTCCACGTTAAAGGACGCACATGCATGTACACACATGAGCTCAAGAGGCGTCAGTGGAGGAGATTTTAGTCCCAGGCACCTCCGTATGGAGGGATTTTTATTGTTGTTGATGTGGCACTGAATTGGAGGCTCGGCTGTAACTGGCTGCATGGGGAGATAATAGTGCTGAGAGTGAAACAGCATATATGATTAGAATATAGCTACCATTATAACAATTCTTGAATTTATTTTTTTAAAGTAATTTATGGTAAAAAAAAAAAAATCTGCTTTTATTTTACCCTCTGCAACCCCATCGAGAATCCATAGGGCCCCCAAATTGTGGATCTATAATGTAAAAGCACACATACTGTATTGAGAAAATTCAGGCATGTATTTATTTATTTATTTACTCATTTGGACCTATAAAATAAAGCTGCCTTCTGTTTGCCTGCTTTTGTTTTTAATTACATACAGCCACCACTGAGGCACAAAATGGGCTGTCACGTTTTGGTTACATAAAAAATATATATTTAAACAGTGAGATTACATTTTATTTTTAATTTTATGTGAATGGCTTTTTTTTTTATTTCCCCTCTTTTTTTCCCCCTCAACTATATAATGCTATTTTTGTGGCATGGCAGAGGATTTAGCCCATAATGTATTTACAACTCCATTTGATTACCTGACCTGAAATAGGTCAAGGCAGATGAAGACAGTGAGAGTGCAGTTATTCACATGCGCACACACACACGGGCGCGCGCACGCACACACACACACACACACACACACACACACACATACACACACACACACACTGAGAGAGAGAGAGAGAGAGAGAGAGAGAGAGAAAGAATCCATGTCTTTCAGGAGCTGATGCATCTTTCTTATGGAGCAGTATTTTAATTATATTTTTAAATATCAGGCTTCTTTATGATTTGTTTCCAAACTTTCCAAGCAGGCTCCTTCTTGCGCAAAGTGATCGATGCATGATGCATTTTCCCCCCAAATGCCAGCTTTATGATAAACAAAAGCTATTTTATAGTTTACACATGATGCAAAATATAATACATTTTGTGTATTTGTGCCAGTTTGTAGCCTACATGAGATCACTGCAGCGCAAAATGTGAAAATAGTGTGAGGTGTAATGGGAGCTGGATGGAGGCAGGGAGAAAAAAAAAGCCTGTATCAATCCGAGACAATAGGACGAGCAGGAGAAGGCAGGCAGCGTTGTTCACCTTGAGATGTAGGCTGTGTAGGCTTCCATCAATGTAGCCCACCCAGCAGGACAGCACACTTCCTCCTCTAACACAAGCTGCTTTGGGATTGTTGCAGGAACCAGGATTTGAATTATGAATAATGATAATAAAAAGTTGCATGTTAATATGCATTGCATGGTTTTGGGAGGGAGAGTGACAGCTGGCAACTGCTGACGTGGTAGTGGAATTGTTTGGATGAAATAATAATATGAGAATATATAGAAGTGTGTAAATCTGCGCGTTGTGCTTGTGTCTGCAACATGAAGTGCTCTTCTCCATATGATGCATATTAGGCCCATATCCCAGGCTGATCAATAGAGCTGCATGTGAGCCCGGCTCAGTGGGCTTTTGGACGCCTCGCTGGCCGTGTCTATCTGCTGTGACTTATTTTGCACCACCACTTTTAACTCGAAATGGGCGATTTCTGCTACATGCAAACGCAACCTTGATATGACAGAAAGGTATTACAGCAAAATCCAGTGGAGCGGCACTAATGATTTGCTTCTCTTATATTTTACTGCACTGTCAGTGTTTTTTGCATCGTGTGATTCTTAACCGGGCTTTCCTTATATTATTTTCCTTGGTAATGATACATTGCTTTCTCCTTTTGACAGAAAAGATGATCGGGGGCTGTGTTTTTGGCTGGGGAAGCCTGCGATCGACTGAATGCAACACATAGATCTGAAGGAAAGGATTATTATATGGGTTGCATTTGATTTTCCTGACCTGCCCTATCCGGATTTCGGATTACTCAACATTCTTCGGAATGGAAGGACGGGATTTCGCTGCTCCGGCGCACCTCTTATCAGAGCGGGGCGCCCTGGTGCACCGAGCCGCCTCTCGGATCGCTCCCTCGGGCCACGGCTCTGTACAGCATGGCGGTCACTTCACGCCGGGGAAATACTACCCCTCGCACATACCAATGGCTCCCCACTCAGGTTAGTCAAACATGCACGGATGTTTCTTTTTATTCTGTTCACACAAGGATGTAGCCACTGCTTCCATCAGCATTTATCTACATTACAGCTGGCTGTTGTTCCAAATGCTCCTCTCATAATGTTGCGCTGTAAAGCCTGTGCATTTATCAGCGTGAATGATAGGCTATGGCCTGCATGTGTGCTGGAGTACAAAGCAGATTATTTTGGCACGAAAGCGAAGAATAGACGGGGCTTTGTGTTTTTAAATAAATGGTTGCTCAGGTGTGGCTGTTGACAGAGTTTCCCTGTTCAAATATCAGCTAATAAATCAGGTGGAAATTTGATTTACACTCGGCCTACGATCAGGAATTTTGATTAAGCTGAATCAACATTTATAGCTTAGACATCTCAAAGGTAATAAAGACATCTTAGTTTAAACAAATAGCCATTTGATAAGTTAGGTAAATGCCACGGTATTTAAAAATGGCATTTAAGATCTGTTTTAGTTTGTACGTAGGAAGTTGGACAGAGCACACTGGCACTGGTTTCCCACTGGCTCTGGGGCTGAATCTGAAATGAGATTTTGTCACTTCACGTTAAATTGATAAGTGTCACACCTGTGCCACAGCTCAACCTAAAAAAAAATCCCAAGGCCATATACTCAGAGCTATATAAGCAAGCAAAGGAAGAAGCAGGTCTACAGTGTATGGAGGTTGCAGGAAGAGGAGCAATAGTAGAAAAAATATATCCTCCTTCTATATTGGGCTCCAAAGTGTCGGGGTGCAAATGTGTTCACAGTGCATACATCAGGTTTAACAAGTGACTTGGGTATCTTGTGTACCTAAATGTGTACCTTTACAAACATGACAAATGTCCAGACAGAACAGTCAGAATTTATAACTCAGCTTAAAGACTCCTGAACAGAATAGCAGCTGATATATATTTTTAAAACACAAAGGTTGGACACATGCACAATAACCCACTGAAATACAAAACATTGCTGCTGGTAATGCTCAGTTTTTGATTTATGAGCATTTCTGAGGTCTTATGTAGATGTTGCATTGGATTTAATTAAATATATAGCAGTGTTTTTTTAATTTTGCATCAAGAAAAAGACAAATAAAAAAAGGAAGATATAAGTATCGCATGGCATTGTTGCAGATTGGATCACAACACACTGCTTTTATTTTCCCCCACCCATGTAAAACAAAAGAGATTTAAATAAGTCTCAGCAGTGGCATATTGATTGCATCAAACAGTTACACTTCTGAAACAATTTGCTTTGAAAATATGTTAATTTGGCTGCTAAAAAAAACACATTTATGATGCAGCAGCCCAGGAATCTTGGGTCACTTGAAAGCAGGGAATATTTAGCCCTTTAAAGTTATTTTATGTAACATATATCAGCTAAAATTATAAGTGGGCTCAGTGTAGGTGGTTGTTGTGGGCAGATAAACGCAGCATCAAAGTCACCTCTGACAGTGTTTTTGTGCTCTGCGTTACATCTTATTTGTTTATTTATGTTTTTTTCCCCCCTTTAATATTAAATGCTTATGCTGTATAGGCTGTATTGTGGCAGGCTAATCAAAGATATTTTTTCAAATTCATTGTGTTTAAAAAGATTCAGGATTCATTTGCAAAATCATGCTAAACATGAGGTGTAATTAGTCATTCAGCAGAATTCATGGGCGCTGTTCACCATTCATCTCTCACCATTCATGTTTGCTTTTGGCAGTTCTCTCTCTCCCTCTCTCTCTTACACATACACACACACACACACACAGCCTAGGTCCGTATGTTTTTTTTTTTCTTATGGGTGTTTTGTTGAGAGCATGAAGGGTAATGCTGGCCACAGGGTACAGGTGCTCCCCAAACCAGATTTGGTGTTTCTTTTGTATTACTTTGCTGCACCAACACGAAGACCTACCCTCCAAATGTCATCACTGTTCAATGAGCAGCACAGGTGGTTTATTGTTCTCCCAAGCCTCGTCAGTAACACATGGGCGTGACTGGGGAGAAGTCTATCTAATATCCTCAAGATCTGTGAAGAAATGACTTAATTCTTTAACATTTCAGGTATTTTTTTTATTGAATTATCATAGAGAATAATTTGAGTTCACATTATATGTAATTCCCCTCTGGGCGCTGTTAGAATTATTTTGCTATTGTGCTCTGCTGATGTACAATCTTTGATTTATTATCTTAATAATATTTGAAAATGTCAAGCATGTCAGAATGCAAATAGGTGGATGAGACATGAAGCATAATTCACAATTATTCATGGCATGTATTTTTAGGATGGTAATTCATCAAAACAGCCCACAATGCAAATTTATAACCACTGTGACACAATTTTATTTTTATTTAATTGTAATTTATTTATTTTCAATAATTTTTAATTACGCCATCAATGAAATCTGTCTTTTTTAAGTCAGTTCACCCAAATGGATAAAGGCCAGCCGCACTGCAAGAGCAGTCAAATGCTCGTAGGTTGTCTGACCAAACTGCTCCCAGACTGTTCATCTTGACAGGGCAGGTCATTAGTGTCCCTTCAAGTGTCCCGTATGCTAGCAACATTAGCACAACTGTGCATGTTGTTTGCTGAGTGTGTTGGATCCCCTCAGTTTTCTCTGCACTTTCCCCCCGGGGACTAACTTGCACACTGGTTCACATGAATACTTTACAAAGAGCATGAATATTTCAGGGTTGATGTAAAAATGCATTCAGAGGCAGGTTTCTGATGTGGCTCCTTGAAAGGGCTCCTCTGACTTTGCAGAGGTATTTATTGTGAGCGCTCCCTTCACCCTCGCTGCTGAAAAGAGTGATGGCGGTTGCGACACCCTCCCTTGGCATTGTTCCTTGCCGGGTTACAGAATTTCAACATATTTTTGGGAGGAAATTTCCTTTCTTTCTCTTGCGCACACTGGTGAGTTTGGTTGCAATCAGGCAACAACAGACACACTCGCCTACCTTTTTGCCCAGTGAAGCGTTTTAACTTAGCACTGGTGGAGATTCTGTCAGCGTGCATTTGCCTCTGTCCATCTTCACCTACTACAAGCCAGTCATTTGTAATGCATGTCAGGTGGTCGATTTATAGTTTGCACTCGCACTGTGTTCTGGGAATGTGACATTGGAGCAACTTCTCTTTGTGTGTGTTTGCTGATACAGTGAGACACAGACCTGTAAACTCATCTAATGCGGTTTAATTCAGCCAGTCCATTTACAAGGACTTTGAAATAGTAATTTTATCTCCTGCTGGCTGCGGCACAGAGTTGGAGACAGTCTTCACTTGGCTGTGAGGCCTGGATTCAGATGTTGGATCGTGTCAAAGCAGGAGACACAGTGGAGCTGTCTTTACTGCTGGCATTTATGGCTGGGGGCTCATCTTTCAGCCATATTGTTCTGATCAGTGCGCTCTGGCTGAGGTGTGGCTGTGTGAAAGCAGCAGGGGTTCAGAGGCTGTCCATGGCTGAGCTCTGCTCTAAACACCCCATGTAATCAAAGGTCATATTTGTGTCATCTCGCTCGCCCGGCCTCCCCTTCCTTTACATCTCCCCTGTCTCCCTTTCCATAAGCTGTCCTCTCTCTCCTCCCCTCCATTTCTCGGTCTCCTTTCTTTCCAGCAGGAAGACCCTTGTGTCTGGGAAGCGGTGGTCTTCCTGCCACCTCTGTTTTAGCCACCCTCCCCTGCCCCGGGCCATTGTTGCAGACCCCAGCTTTGTGTGTGTTTTACGGCTGCTGTTAAAGATAAAAAACAGTCCCTTCCACCCCCTTTATTGTTTTCTGGTAGGATGTCCCTGTCATTCCCTTGGTTTTTATGTCCTAGCTGGATATCCGAGCAGCTTCCCCCTTCAAAGGTTAGCTATGCTGTCTGCCTTCTCCCATTTTTTTTTCCAAAGGGGAATAAATAACTTTACTGAGACTTTTATTGAACGTCTCATTGCTGGAATATCCCAAGGGTCTGTGGTTGTTGAGAAGACGCTTCAAAGACAAACACAGGTGTTTGGTGGAGTTAGCAAAGGGCTGGTTACAACCAGGGTCTTTAAAAGAATAAACCTCAGTGAGTGGGTTGTTTGTGGGAAGGGAGGCTTCTTCTTCCTCTTGGCCTTGTACCTCTTGTGTTGTGAGCACTCACAGTTCGTACCCTGTTTCCCTTTGACTTTACTTACCCCCCATCCTTGTTAACCCCAGACAAGAGCAGTGGCTAGAGTGAGCTGCATGTTAGCATAATTTTTTAGCAGCACAGCACCCAGCACCAATGAAAGGCTGTTTCTCTCTAAATCAAACAATTAGAGAGATTTGGTGAGAGCATATCCAGCGCAGTTGCCAGGAGAAAATGTTGGCATTGTACATTTCTGCAAACCACAAATTTGTTACCTTTGTATGTTTTGTACGCATCATATCAACATATCTAAAGTGACATAGTTCTGATTACATGTATATGAGGTGAGCTGGTTATCGGGAGGTGTAGGGGATGGTGGATGGCATGACACTTAGAGGAGACGGCTGCCAAGCTACAGACCGCTGCAGATCACTGCATTTTCAGCTGTGTTTTCATCAGCAAAACCTAGTATTTTAACCCAAAACATGATCTTTACCCAACCATAACCAAATGGTTTTTGTGCTGCAACATAACCCCACATTAACCAAAGTCAAAATGTACCGGTTGTCCTTTTGGCAAGACATTGGCTGTATTTCCAGTGGCAGTTGTGTTACCAAAGACTGGATGTCTTTTAGCGAGACATAGGCAGTATTTCTAGCCATGACTGTGGCTGCAAAACAGAATATATTAAGCAAAAATATGATCTTTTCCTAACTATAACCATTTGTTGTTGTTTTTTTGTTTGTTATTTTTATGCCTAAACATAACTACACTGTAACCTTGCACTGTTGAAACACACTGGTTGATATTAGCAAAGTTAGCTGCTTTTCCAACGGTGATTGAGCCACCAAAACTGGATGTGTTTTAGCGAGACATCTGTGGCATTTCACTGTGGCACCCTAACCCTAACCCTAACCCT